ATCGTTTTCTAGTAATTTGATCTTTGCTTTTGTTCATGTCTCGTCCATACAAACATGATCAAGTATCTGGTTCCTTCTGAATTTGAGAAAAAACTGTCGACCATGCATTTACTACTCTCCTGACTTGGTAGAAATCCCATCTCAAAATTATTAAACAAAGTCAATTTTTCTGTAAACAGCAGAAGCGTCTTCTTCGTAGCTCATTTTGGGATAGGTTTTTATCCGTACTTAGGAAGGACGTGATCTTACATGGATTAGCAATTACTGCTGGACTCTGCGGAATAAGGGTTCATTTTACTCTGGATAAGTTTACATCGAGCTAGAGAGCAAACAAAGTCAAGTCAACATACACATATCCTCATCATCATCTTCTCTTCTGTCTGAAAGACGAACTGGCTTCTTGTGGGCTGATGGGACCCTTACGTGTGATGTCATGGATTATGTTTTAAGCGATCCGTTGTTTATTGTTCGTTTCGGTTGTTATCTTTGCCAGCCTTTCCAATTCCCAACTTAAACAAAATTGGTGCGTTGCAGTGGTCACCACCACCCACCCACGCACACCAACCACCGAAGCGACAACGGTCGAAGGACCAAAGGAGACTTGTTGCTTCTGAGCCTGGGAGAAGGGACGCCTTCCTCTCTGGCAGCCTTATTCTGAGTCGCTAACCAGATGTTGCATATGCGTTCAACGGCTTTACTCTCAACTTTAAAATCGTTGAGTTGAAGGAGCTTCATTGAAGTATCCTTTGTATGTATGGCTTGGGGTCCAGGGTTAACCTCATCTGCAACAAGTAGCTGTTGTGCCCCTTGTTTCTCCCATTCACAAGTTAAAGTTTTACATCTTTAAGGGCAATTCATACAATGTGTATCTTCAATGGTCCAGTATTTCGTAATTTTGCTATTTGGATGCAAAGAGTGTGTTTTTGTCATTGATAGGAAGGCGCATAAAATGTTGGTCTGTTTCTGTGCATGGCCCGCATGGGCTTTGTCCTTCTCATCATTTTCATATGTGAACATACATACGTATAGAAAATCAGGCATCGGATCACATCTCTTCCCATCATATGGCCGACAATTGGCTAAAGAAAGAAAGAAAGACGACTATAAAAAATGGTCCCTTGGTTCGCCTCTTATGTACGTCGAGAAAGAAACCAACAACATCTTGAGACTTGAATGAGTTCCCACGATTGATCACCATCCATCCAACCAACCAACTAACTAACTAAAGACCAGTAGACAAAAATAAAGGAAAATCTTTCAGAGCCAAGAAAACAAGTGGAGCAACGTGGTTAGATTGGAAGGAAGATCCGACATGTGTGCAACCTGTTCCTTCCATGGATCGCCTTGTGGTCATGTTCCTGGTTCCGGTTTAATTTTCAGCCTAATCTCCGTACTTACTACCTGTTCCCATCATTCGAGACATTTAAACGCTCGTTTGAGCAAATCCAGAATGGGAAACAAATTATATTGAAGATGGTCATTGTATTTTCAATTTCATTGCGTCCATTCAAGAGAAAAAGTATGCACTTTTTGCTATCTGTGTGGGCATTGAGTTGTTGCGACCACCAGAACTTGGTTTGCCTTTGTTTCATACGTAATTTAGCTGCATATAAATGGCTGAGAGGGAACATGGATGACATAAATTTTAGGGTCAGTCACGTTTCCTTTTTATCCACCAACGACGACGACCAGCAGCAGTGGCCGAAGCCAAACACCAAGAACAAAGAAAGCGTGTATGATAAATTCACGAGTCAAATCCAGGCACTTTTATGTACATACTTACGTATACATACATATCAGTCGTACATTTAAGGCCCATACCTCGGATATGCGAACAAAGTAGATAATTTCACCGACCACCAAATTAAACCTGTTGAGCAGGACACCTCACCAACTGTCATGAATGTGAGGGGATTTGTTCTTTGCCCAAAGTAACTTGTTCTCCAGGAGGAGCAGAGTACGAGACAGGATGTCTGAATCTAATGAATGAAGGAATGAATGAAATAGCATATTATTATATCAGCAGCAGTGGCACTGGTTTTGGTGGGGGTGGACTTTTGTGAGATAACGCATGACATGACTTTTAGAATAAATGCACATAATAATATTCCCTAATGAGTCCGAGTTAGCGACTTTTCATTTTCATGTGATGAGCCCTCATGAATTTTTTTCTGATTTCCGTTTCCTATTTTTTGCTCCCTTTGTCCAGTACCACGAACAAGTCGTCGTCGTTGCAGGAATAATCTTCGTCTTGAAAAGGCCGTTGGCAAACCAACTTGTTGTTTTTGTGGCTTCTATGCATTCTGGCTGGATGCGAGTTATATGTATGTGACACTGATCGTTGAGACACTTTTCATTCATAAATTAATATATGCAGTAATAAATAAGGAACTGATGGTGGACAAGGAACAATGCACAGAGAGGGCATTATACTTTTCAAGTATAAATATTTCCACTAATTTTCGCCATAAAAATGGCACATGCCACACTTAATTGAAACAATGGAATTTTCTAAATGCTCAATAATAAGTCATTCACAGTTCATTCAGACAATTCAATTGAGTTCCAATCCGCAATCCAATAACAAGGTCACGTATGGAAATGTACGCCCCATTCAGAATTGGTTGTTAGGTGAGTGAGGCATAAACGGTCATATGTATCTACATACGTATAATTTATCCTAAACGGCCCACTCGTTGACTGGACCACATGCTGATTATCATCCACAAGATCTAATGACTACCACTGTGCTACACATGGCGATGTCGGTTTAAATTAGTATTGCACTGAAAGCGATGAGATATTCAGCATTTCGAAGGAATCGCACGCCGCTTTGATCAAGATATTCGACAATCATTCTGATAGCATGATATTTGTATGCCGATTTCCAAAAATTTAGTACTGGAGACATTTGCTAGCACGAGATAAGAATTTTTGACACTTTAGCACCGTCAATATGAAAGTGCACGTAGAAGAATTTTAGATTGATTCGGAAAATCACACAAATTTGGCATGCAATATTTTAAATAGTAGACGAAACTCCAGGTTTGGAATTTTTGTAAGGAGTATAAAAGGTTTATAGTGACGTTTAGAGAACATGGAGTGACGGCATCATTTTGAGACAACATTTGCATTCCATTTGCATATCATTGGCTGTTCTAACAATTTTCTAATTTTAACTAGTTGGAAATATTCCAATTTTATTTCTAGATTAATCATTTGCTTCATTGAACTCCACAATTCTCGAGTCGCACTCAAATTGTTTAAGTTGAAATGTTATCGGCAAATAAAAGAAATTGAAGATCATGAAGGGCAACGTGATGCTATCTCTCCAAGATGAGACTAAAAGCAATCTTGAATATATTTCTTAAGAACAATAAGTTCCATCCATATCCCTTTTGTGTGTATCTCCATTCTTGTTAGTCTCAACCGCCGTTCGTATCAATGTCAATTCAATTGTGCATTCTGTGGGACAAACCTCTTCATAAAATATAATAATAAAAAGGACTCATTGATTTTCAATTGCGTTGTTCTTTTCAGTTCTTCATATTTTCCCCAAACCCATTTTTTTGTCCATTTAATCATAAATTTATGTCAATCGATTCAGGGAAATCGCAGGCAGACCTCTGGAAACATGCATCCCATATAATATGTAACATGCCTTATTTATGAGGCTATGGTAGCTTGGATAAATGTTTTTCTAGCTTGTCATTTCTGGTGGTTGACAGTGTGGCAGATATTGTGTGCATGCATCTGCTGTCTGTTGTCGTAGCCTTAAGAAGAGTGGAAAACATGTGTGCAAAATATTTTCTTGGTTCACAAGAGACAATTTCAAATATCTTGATTTGCGAATGCGATATAAAATCCTGAACCATGAATTTATGACCTTGGGCACTGAACTCGATACATCTCTTCTGCGTTGCATTTTCTTCAAAACTATAATTCCGATGCACTTGAGCAACAGTTGAGTTCATATTTTATGCATTCCTCGCTCGTATTTACCCTCAATGACGAAGGCGAAGCTCTTAAATATTAAATTGGTGTGAAATCAATCAATCCCGCACAATAATATCTTGTGGCGTTCGTTTAAAGTATTAGTCTCATATTTTGGAGTGGAAAGACAAGCAAAGTTTAGAAAAAAACCACCACAGAAAAACATTTTGATGACTCCAAATCAACCTGAATGGTTTATGATGTCTGTTTTGGTGGGTTCGACTTTGCTAATGACTTGACACTGGATCTATGTATACCTTTTCGCCAGAGGCGTGTGAATTTGTATTACTCGAAGAGAGGCAAAACATCTTTTTGTTTCAGGTGGATTTATGACAATATTACCAACTCTTACTCATCCAGCATATACTTAGGATTAGTGCATGGCGTTACCTAATACAGGAACATGTTGACGCTTCACACGGCATCAAAACTTAGAAATGTTTATTTCCCTGAAAAGTTTAAAGTTAGAGCTGAAGGTTGTGGTGAGCTGAGTGTGTATTTGTGATGGACTTATAAAATACATTGTGCTTCTTGTAAATAGCCAAGGGTTCGGTCTCGCACATATTTCGTCTTCCTGCCTGGGTCTCAGCAAACTCATATTTTAACTGCTAACCGTCATTGCACTTGTTACTTCTTGGCGTATAGCTGCGATAGTTATTAGAGCCGTTGGTTGGTGTGTGGGATACGAAGGATTTCGGTCAAGAATTGTGTGAAATGAAGGGCTCTTCTTGTGTCTCAAGGATACAAAGTATGGATGAAGCAGCAAAGAAAAAAGGGCTCTTGGATGCATGTATGAATACATTTCAAACTCATCTTAACTTTTCCATTGTTATCTGTACCATCGCCGTACTCCTACTATCGACGTCTTGGTAGGTATACACGTAGCGTGGTGGTGGTGGCGATGGTGTGGTTTCAAGGGTCTCATCTCATTCAGCTTTCTTCGTCATCCTCCACCCCATCATCGTGGCATGAATCGTAAGGTTCCTTGCTGGGCCACAGAAAGATTTCAAACCTTTCAGAGCTCACATCAATTCTGGCTTTTATGTCGGAAAAAGGTTCTCTTGTGGTGCGTCTCGTCTACATCCCAGAACCAACTTTATCGTGACTCTTATCATTTTCAGTAAGAAAAATGAATTATTATAGTTTTCTTTAGTGAAGAACATTCTCGCGATCAAAATAGGTCATCAGAATTGAGACTGGAATTGAGTTGTACTTGACAAGGTCGAAAAACGACGCATTTAATCAAAATTAATTGTACACACGTGTTTGAACGTATTGGTAAATTAAGGACAATATATTACTCGCCAAATGTATTCATATATCGCAACATTCCATCATTATTAAACACGTTTTGTTTTTTGAACAAAGTGGGTTTAGTGTTTCAGGCGAAATTCAAATATCGAATCAAACGGTGCCAGAATTGAGAAGTGTTAAATATTTAATATGTTATGTTGGCAGTTTGGCTTGCGTATGGTTAGTCAAGTACAAAATAATAATAATAATAATAAAGTACAAAATATCGTCCACGTGTATGCCTAACTTTGCTGGCAGGGAAGAAAATGTTGGTGTGTCGAAATTGTCCAACTCCATAAAACTCATGAATAAATAACTCTTTACAATCTAACATCTAAGTATACTCGTGCTCAGTTTGAATCTTTCTCTAAAGTTTGGTGTGTTCAACAATATTTAAGTAAAGGGGGAAACACACGGCAAAATATCCATAAAATTTGCATTAATCGAATATCGACTGATTGAACTGGACAGAAACAGGCAAACGGTACCACCTCACCCAACTCGCTTTATCCATCCTTCATGTAAGTTTACATATAAATGTACGTACATACAAACACAGGCCCCTGCAAAAGCTCAGCGTGGGTATAATCCTCCTCCGCTGTGTAGTTATAAGTAGTACAAGAACCATCAATTGTCAATCCGAAGCAGTTAGAGCAGTCTTCTCAACAACTTTTCCAAGTGTATCATTATTCAAGCAAAACGGACCATTATTATTCTTGCGATTATATATCGAGTCCATTCCATCGACTAAATATTACAAATCCTCACAAATGGGGAAACCAATATGTGTCCCATTTCAACCCATTCATTCATACGATTTGGGTAGAAGAAGCTTTCAATAGCGAACAGTGATGCAAGTATTCTTAAATCTATTTGCGTATGAATGAAACCTGAACCGTTTGCAGATGATTTTTAGATTGCATACTCATCGTCGTCTCCTCCACATCTTTTTCATAAACATCGTTGAGCAGTAAACACTGAGCTAGAATTACAATTAAACACTGCAATGCGAAAACAAGACACGATTTTTCCAGCTCAAATTCAATGGTTATGGTTTGTAGATTAAGGATCACTCTCATCATATTAAGACTGATTTGTTATTATTCCGCGGGGGTCACCAATGCATTGCATGCCTAACACGAGTTTATTAGCTAACGATGAAAGTGAACTAAATCTCAACAACCAAAGTCGAATGTTAAGAGTTGAAATGTTACACTAACACTGATCCTACAATAATATCATCATTGGATGATTGGAGAGGAGGATGATTTCGCTATGTTGTAACCATAACTTGCGGAACAGGCATTTTGCCAACTCCACAGAAAATTGCTCATTCATTCATTTTTAGCCAAGATTATTTTATATCCCAGCAAAAGCAAGAGCATCATCAACAGCGAGCGAGTCCGTCACCAGTCAAAGTTAGATTTAAAAGTGTGGGTGTCAGTCATGGCAGATATCTTGTGAGAGAGTGACATTGTACTCTCGTTAGGGCCTTGTGATCGTCTTACAGCGCTTCTAAAATCCTTATAGTTTTATGGATAATCTGGACAAGGATTTTAGTCGCATTCGTCTTCACATCATTCCCTTGACTTGTGCTAAACAGCATGAAATAAATACCCACGAGTAGTCAACAAGTTGGGCAGGTTGGCTCTGGCCAAGTTTTGAGTGGGATACGTTTTGTAGCTCGTTCGTAGTAGTCAGACAAGGCTTATTACTAATGGTGTTATTGGGATTCATTCATGGAATGGCAGAAGAGCGAGCGTTTAAACGAGGCCCCCATAGTCACTGCTCTTTGGTGATTCGCTTTATACGGGACGGATGAGCACCGTAAAGCGAAACTTCATTCAAGAATATTTCTCTGCTCTCTCTCGTCCAAATGAAACTTGGCTTCATTCAGTTTACGAGTTGGCATCCACGCTTGTAGTAAAGTAAAAGTGCTGTTGGGAACAACGCAACGAGTATTATGCAATTCGACGCCTGGAATCGTACAGTGTCACTCTAGAACTAACTAAATTACTGCTTTGCTAGCTACTTTGCTATAAAAAAAAGTGTGCAAGTGATTTTAATAAATTCTTGATACATTTTTTACTGACAAAAAATAAGTGAATGTTGTGTGCCCGTGTTTGTTTCAGGGGCGGTTTGGCAACTTTTCGGCAGTGCCCGACACCTTTTCAGTGAATGAAGACATGGATTACTCGTTGGCAGACTCTGCTTGGTCTCACTACGAAATCGATTGTGCCTTAGAGGACACTGACAACTTCTACTCGTCAAAAAAAGAGATGCCGAAAAAGGTAATGATAAATTTTAGCCACTCATTCTCATCAATAAATATGTACTTTCATAATTACTCATCACTTTATACTCCGCTATGAGCTACACGTCTTTCCAATTGCTCTCATTCATTATTACTTTGTGGCAGCATGGACTGTATGCAGTGTGGCGTCGTACAATAATAATGCTCATCATCCAACCCAATTATGCGCAAGAATTAATGCACCAGCATACTCGGCACTTCTTCGATTATTCATTACTTTAGTGGGAAAATGCATGTAAAATGTGTTGATTGAGACATTCGAGGGTGGAAAAACATGGATTGAGTCATTTTATTCCAGTCCCGGTCGAAGAAAAAGTGGAATAATTATAACTTATTTGTACAAAAGTCGACTTGACACCGTGAGACCCCTTCTTCAGTCGAGGAGGTCATGTCATGGATTAAGCATAATGTCACCAATCCAGAGGATGAACATTCTTCTAAACGGTGATTTCCTCTTCAAAGTTCTCTGGTGGCAGTGTTCTTGGTACAAATCATGGCATGTCAACCTCCCCTCATGAGAATAATTAGAATAAGTGAGACGACGTTGGTTATGCTTCTTCAATGTGTGGGAGAGTAAATGAAATTGGATCCTTGCCTCATTTCATCCTTTATTTGAGCTACCCTTGCCCTGTCATGTCACTCGTGTTGTTATATTTATCTACGTAAATGTGTAGGACATGTGTTTAGTAGAGAGATGCGAGGAACCCTTTCTTCCCATCCCTTTGCGTCGTTATACATAAATCTGGAAGATGCATGTTGGTCGGAGGACCACTTTAGTTCAATCAGTTTATAAATCTCTGAGGGTGGCTTTTGACAAAATTTTTCAGAATGGTAAAATAATGATAGGTGTCTGCCTCCTCTCCATATCTGTGCAATTTGCAACTCGTAATAGCAGCATTATTAACAGTGGCATGATGCATTTGTGTACATATTATGTTGTCTAACACAACGTTGTGTTTAAGCAAGCACAACAAACAGGTTGATACGGCGAGCGTCTGAGGCAAATAGCAGTGATTCATTCATAAAACGCTCTCCGACGGTTGATTAACAATGGTGAGTACAAGTTTACAAGTTGTGCAATGCAATGCGTCATCACGTCTCATGCAAAATCTCAGAACCAATCACCCACATTGCGTTTTTTTGGTACATGCACAGATACCTAATGCATGCCTACAGACACATGTACAGAATACTCATCTTCTTCTACTCATTAAGGAGGATGTTTTAGTATTGCCATTTATCAATATGCAATGTATTACAGTGTATGGAGCTAGAATTTATTGTTAGCTTTCCAGATTTTAAAATAAACCTAGCTTTAAAAACCAAGTACTCAGAAGAACTACACAGTTTGAGCATTAGTTTCTTTAGCTGAGGAGGAAGAAGTAAAACATACAAGAATCGAGAAATTGTTCTCATCCAACTTATTGGTCTGTTTGCTTACTCAATTTGTTAACACTAACAAGTGAAGACACAAGACAAGATTTTAAAATTCAAATATTATCTTTGGCAGATTGGGTGTCACGTCATAAACTTCTTCTTCTTTGGGTAGAAACACAGGTTTCATCTCATGTCAGCCAGGGAGCGAAGGGGTGAAAATCTGTTTAATTAATAATATTCTCCTCTCGCCTCTGACCTGCTGCACTCCACAAACCAGGCACGACCGACGGGTAGATCTCATATGCAGGTTCTTGGTTGAGCATAGCAGTTAAACCAATAAGCACATTATTGCCGTAGACGAGGAAGAAGACGAGTCATGACTCTGCGTTCATTCATGAATTCATAGATTGTGAATGAATTTTTTTTTACTACAAAGTGCGTCTTGCTGCTTCAGTGGTGCTGGTATGATGGCATGGTTGTAAAAACGACCGGAAGGAAGTCACTGCTTATTACTAAATACACAACACACCAACCACGCAGACACACACACACTTGGTTTGACACTTGACAAATTAGCCGTATCTTAGGGTCAGCAAATTAGTGTGAGATTGCTTTGAGGGCGTCCGATGATCTGTAGGCAGTATAACAAAGTGTACAAATCCACATTTAGCCCGTCCACGTCATTGTTTAATCTATTTTGAGAATTCTTGTACATCTCTCAACTAGCCTTAAACAACCCTTCATTCTCGTGTTTTTTCTCGACAGGAAATTTGGTTGACATACATGGATTTGTGCATTGTTTGGTTCGTTATATATAGACATCTGGTAGTTTTGATAATAGGTTTCCAATCATCGTCTCTCTCGCTCTCTCAAAATTGTTGTTACTTATTTACAACTTTTTAGCAAATACATCCCTGTTTTCACGAGTGGCATTTTTTAGTCACTGTGATCATCTTCAGTCCCAGAATAAATCTTTCGGGATAATTTTTTGGATAGACATTCACAGAAACACGGTCTGTTTTCACAATGCATAAGATGAACCAAATCCAAGACACTTTTCCAGACAAACCTTATTGTAAACTTGGCGTATGATCCATGTATTCGAATTGCATGCTGACTTTTATGGAAAAGTTCGGGAATAATCTAATTGGGACTAAAAGGAGACGTAATCATCCAAAAAGTCAATTCCTTGAACTTCAGCAAGGTGACAAATGTATGCACATGATTTCAATGACTTGTACTGCTCCAAGGTGAAAAATGCCCCTTTCTTATCTCATCCTACTTAACTAAAATTGAATTGGATACAGATTTCATTGTCAATTTATTTTCATTGCGACTGCGTGGCTGCTACAATTTATATAAATCTTAATACAAATAGGTATGCAGAAAAGCATTTGAAAATAGCATCTTTTCAGTGCCAAGAGCATCCTTCTTGTCCGAAGTGATAACTCAGAATTCGTTTTTGCTCACTCTTGAGACGTTTAAAATCAGGGAAATTAGAAAATGCGACATCCTGATTATTGTTGATTGAAGGTGAAATTTGAGTAAACGCCAGAGTACCACAATGTCGAGAGGTATGTACATTAGCATTAGGTCCTTGATGACTGCTTTTGAGCACACTTTTACACATTTCGTCACTGCGCCATACAAACATTGGCGTCCGGTCTGCACCCCGTCATTGTTAACATCTTTGCTTCATCATATATACGAGCGAAAGTCGCCGAAAGTTGCAAAATGGTCTCGTCTGTCTGTTAAGCCAACTTTTTGCATGCATGTTTGTTTGAATTGGTTGTCTTATCCGCAGGTCATCCGGTTTCAGTTGGACTCGCCGTCCAAGATGTCGAAAGCGTCGCGCGGAGGGGAAGCTCTGTCCCTCTTGTCAGGCCAGGTGCAGGTGAAGCAGGAACGTGGTGAGGACGACTTTGTGGCCCCCGTTCGACCTCCACCCGGTCGTGGAGCTGGTGGGGAGCGCCGAGTGCCCTGTTCCATCCAGAAAGTCCCCTCCATTTCAGACCTCTCGGATCAAGAGAGCTCAAATTCACTCGGTAAGGAAAACATTTTCACAATCTTTGAAAATTATCATGGTGTAAGAATGTCGTTCACTAGAATTTGGGCCAAAATTTCCATTATTTAAGTTGATTCGGAATTAGCATGGTCGTATCATCGTTGACATCATCACCTGGTCTTATCTACCGTCATATTGATTAATTGAATGGATTATTCCAGCAATAAATGAACTCGTAGTACTTACACCGGTTATGTGGCTGGACTTTCGGAGATTTCATTACTCATTATTTAAACAAACTCTGCGATAAGTGTTGTGCTGCTGATATCAGCTTCGCACACAATGCTAATTTCATTTTCGGGAAATGAAAATGAACAGGAAATGAAAATCTGCACTTGGAATTATTTTGACAAATAAGTCAAATGATTTCATTATTTGAAGTAACATATCCAAGCTGTCTGGCTGGAGGTTGCTTGTGACACGCATTCCTGCATATCGTATGAAAATCGTGAGCCATGTGCATAAATACTTATCTGCACCAGCATTATCATGTTCTTAGAATATTATTAGTAACGTTGTTGGGCTGTGTGCTTGGTTGGTGTTTGCCCTCCAAATGACTCGGCAGTGGTGGTAGGAGTACTCAACAATTAATTTCTCTGATTTAAATTGAAATATAGAGTTGCAGTTCAATTGACCATTTTCCATGTGTTTCTTAATGAGGATGCAGATTGTTAAGATAATTAAAATTCACCAAGCATAAGGCTAGTCAAATAGTTCCTAGACCACAGATTTATTAGACCCATTTCGACAATCTGTTTGCCTTCTATTGATTAATCTTCTTTCAATTAATCTTCATTAGAATATGAGATTCTCATCCATGTGACCCCAAATTTTGAACTGCTCTCCCATTAAATATGTATTAAATATCAGAATCTTCCCTGGTTAGCAAATGTCAAAACAATTGTGATCATAATTAAACCAGATTTGTTCATATTAAGATTCTTGATTGGTTTGCAGCATGTACATGCACAAATAGATATATATTTAATACACCCACTAATATGTACGTATTTAGTTGGCATATGAGTCATTTGTACATACAAACGAATGTTACAATTAATTTCTCCGTCGTACTATTCCCTGGTAGTGGTTTTATGTTGCAGCCACCCTGTCTGCTCTTTCAAGGTAATCCAACAAAACGGCAGCGTCCAGGTTGGCTGGGGTTTGCTTTGTGAAACATAAGAGCTGAAGGTGAACTAAATAAGATTGCCTTGTAACCCGACACTTTTCCTTCGGTCCCATAAATATGCAGACATAATGGTACATACATATTTACAACCATTTCTCCCAACAGGGTCCATAGTTCCTTAAATTCCTTATTTTTCGAAAAATGTTATAATTGACATGAGCACTATTCGGTGAGGGACTGGAATGTTGTGCGAAAGATGAGACGAGTGATCCCAACAATTAGCGTGACCTGTTTACACCTGGATGGGCGGAGCTCATTAGCTTCATATTTTATTTGTAGGGAGTGGACATTGATAAACAACTCGTTTGTGCGATAATACATCGGATCAGATTCCAATTAGCTCTCTCACTCAACAACTTGTTTACACCTTCATTTACACTTTACGCTTCTCTGACTTGTCCAACCAAATGATACTTTTTTATGTACGTGTCTTCTCCTATGTCTTTGCACTGAACTGACCTCATTGCTTTCTTCGGTAGGAATTGCGTAGGTGTCGTCAGGCTTTCTTAATTAAGCTTTTGATACACCGTTTTTTGTCAATAGTTTTCTGATGGACCTGTTGTCTGAAAAAAGTAGCGTCGCTTAATAATAATTGGCTCCTAATTTGATGATCATGACATGATTGGGATATATTATTGAGTAGTCGTGGGGGGTCGTCTCCGCCACTCTTGCTTATTTGACACTCTTTCCAGTTAACGAATTGTCGTCGCTCGGAGAACGAGTACTAAAAAGTGGTGTCAATAAAGATTCCAGAGCGTGGCGAATATTAATACGACTCAAATTTGGAAAAGATATACCGTTGAAAATCTTCTGGTTATTGGATTTTTAATTCTCAACTCGTCGTTTACCCCGCATTCTGTAGCGTGTAGGAGGTTATCTCTCCAAGATGGTGGCATTTGTTGGAGGCGGCTTAATTTTACGTGTACAGTGCTAATGATGGCTATGTGTACACAAGTACTGGACGGATATCATCACAGTAATTCACCATCGGGAGCCTTTACACTCTCTGTTTCAGGGTAAAAAAAACCTTTACATCTTTCCGACTGCCCGACTGGTTTTTCAAACCTTATTCTACTTTTAGCCCTTCGTCGGCAAATCTCAATCACTTTGTCCCCCGACAACCTCCTAATGAAATCGATTCACCAATTTCAAAATACGAAAAGCTTCAGGGTAAAATGAAAATTATAAAGTCTATCACGTAAAAAACCCTGGCGAATTCATGTATGAAAATTTTCCAAGAAATTTTCAACTCTTAAATTATCATCACTCCGACGCCATGAAAGAGTTTTGAGTTTTCTAAGAATCTCATTTCCACACGTTTTACACTGTTCCGCACAGTGTCGTTCTTTCTGGAGAGGATAAAAGATTAGTTGCTGCTGGTTAGCATGGACAATAAACCATGTAACTGGGGATACACTGCATGAGATGATGGATCTGGACGGAGGTGAGGTGCGATGGAGGTGTATTGTCATCTCTCATATTCTTCTTTCTCTCTGCCTGTTAGTTTTTTTTGTACAACTGGAACCTGCCATTACTCATGTGGCATTATTATTAGTCAGGTATCATGTGTGGACCCTTTCCCACACTCACACTTGATCTCAAGGTTACATTGTTGGGTTATTCCTCAACTTTTTAGGGCTTTCCAGTCCATCATCCAATGCAGATCGTTTTCTTCAGTTTCTTGTTATCCCAATTGCAGGCTTTGGTCTGCATCGTAAATCGTGTTTAATTCAAAGACGATTCATGACGATGAGGAGCTACGTGTCGTTTGGAGCAGAGATGAGTTGTAGGATTAGTCCGATGTGAGGGTGGATAGGTTGGATTAGTTTCATTTTTATATGCATCACATCGCAGGTAGATCACTGCATAGAGAGAGGAGACCCTCCTGATTACTTCTTCTTGTTGGTGAGGGAGGACATTGTGAACAAATCCTGCATGGAATAGAAATTGAATCGACGACGCTGTTCTACCCTTTTCGGAGTGCTTCGTATTATTATGCACCCCGGACGGAATAACCTCATGTGAAATTTGTATTATTTATTTTCGTCTGTGACTTTTTCGACTTTTCCATTCTGTCACGGAGCGAGGGTCATGACATGATGATTACATTACAATTATTACACAACAATTGACAATCACATATGTTCCAGGGGACACTGAGGACGACATGCTGTTCTCCTTGTGTGATGATCATAAAATTATTGTTATCGTCGTTCTCCATTTCGTTGCTTCTATTCATCCACAAATCAGGGCCAACTGTCTGCGGATCTCTCTCGTCCAATTTGTCTTCAGAATTATCTATGTACCTTTGCTCGTCGTGTATTTTATTGGATTTTTTATGGAGAAGTTTACAGCTTTCTTCAAATATTGCTTCTTCTGAAATCCAAATATTTGATAGTAATATTGCTCCTTCTCCTATGACAAATGTGAATCCTATGTAAAGTGTTCTTTATTATTGTAATGCAATGCTATCCGATATTCTACGTGGATGACTCCGTTTTTTACTACTGTCAGAGTAAATGGTGTGTTAAATCCTGCTGTGAGATTGTCAAAATCTTTGGAGGCAATCACCCATACATTATTGGATTGGATTTGTAGCTTGGTACCTGCTGAAAGATGGTAGTAAGGAAACCATCTCTCATCTTCGGGTGGAAAGATGGGTAGGACTTGTGGGATAGGCAGGAGAGTGTACAATATACATATGTATGTGTACATGCATACAGTGCATAAATAACATGATTGACAGAGAGGAGTAATAACTTGATACTATTGAATATAATTTCCTAGAAATGATATTTTGTCATTGTCTAATGTCTGATGATTTATTTTTTGAATGGCAAATTCGTAGATGATGAGTGTCATCAAATATTTACTCATTAGTATCATCTCATATTGTATGAATTTGTTTGCGAAATGTGTGTAAAGGGAATTAAACGAGGTTCAACGTGGAGTTTAAAAATCAGGAGATGAGGAGATATTTTAGATAGATGGATGGGATTCTTCATCAAGATTCATGATTAACCACATATTTCTATACTCGAATAATGCAAGTAATAATAGTTTTTGGTTGGATATCCATTAAAAATAAATCAGAATTTATTATTCCTGCCGCTGGTGGGTGATATTGACTAACGTTGGAAATGTTGAGCTGGCCCAGCGGTTGTTGTAGAAAATTTTTGTACATTTGAGGTTGGAAAATCGTTCAAATATATCCCAAATCTTGTCATGTTTGAGTTTTCTAGCCGACAAGAACTTCCCATTACCCAATGCTCGAAGATGTTGGATGGGGTCCAGCTATGTGCATATTCTTTGTTTGTGCTTGAGATATGGTGCACATAGATATAGCCAACGTTGAACCATTGTCGGTTGACTCAGCACTTTGAGACGCTCAATGGACGAGCTGAGAAACGAAACCCAAAGCTTTTAACCGTTCGTAGTAAAATCAAATAGTTTTACGGCTTCAGATGTTCACAACCCGACCGAAACTGTGGAACATGTAGGGGCTTGGTGGAACTAAATTCTCCTTCATCCGTCCACCTCGGACCCCTGAGTTCCATTCGTTTCATTCATGAAATCTGGGAATCGCCTCCAGCCTCGAAGGGAGAAAAAATTCTTAGACTCAATAACATCCATGGACAGTCTTTCCTCTTAAATTGCCTACCTTTCGTCACGATACATGGAATACAAGTGCAGCGTCCACCACACATTATAATTTTACTGCCCCCACTACCAGTACCCCTTCGTACATAGGACAAAGAAACAACGTACAAGATGATCACAGATACACATTA